GAATTCAGTGTGACCTACTGCCTCTCTCAAAACATCTCCCAAAAGCCCTGTGCCTGGTTGGGCACATCTGCTGAGGGCAGTTGGGAGCTGCTGACTCCTGACTTTCTAGATCCTGGATAAGTCATTTCGCTTCACTGCCTCAGTTTCCCAGCTGGGAATGAGATTTGCTTCTGTGAGAGATTGTACTGAAAGTTAGGATTAATGGATCTCAGCAGACACTGATCTATAAACAAGAATGTATTTTGCCCCTGCCACTGGGCAAAGGTTACTGGGGGAGATAGTTTAAAAATTCCTGCCTGGCTCTCTATGCTAAAAGCTCATTTCACTGCCATCATGTAATTAAAAAGCTGTAAGCATGTAAGTCTTGCTGCAGCAGCCGGGAGAGAGGTCAGAAACAACCTGTCCTTAAAACATTTAAGAATTTTTAAAACAGCTAAATAATCGGCACCAACAGCTGCTGATAGCTCTTGCTGTGTCTCCTGTTCCATAGGCACGGAGCAGTTTGTTATTAATCTCTGTCTTTATTTTGCAGTGCTCTGGGCTTGCTGTACTTCATCCGCCGAGGAAAGCAGTGCCTGGATTTCACAGTCACGGTTCACTTCTTCCACCTTCTGGGCTGCTGGATTTATAACTCGCACTTTCCCTTGACCATGACGTGGTGGCTGGTGCACATCGTGTGCACCGCGCTGATGGCTGCCATCGGGGAGTACCTCTGCATGAGGATAGAACTCAGAGAAATCCCCCTCAATTCTGCCCCCAAATCCAACGTATAGACTCGCTCTGGCAACGTCATGCTGCATTACGTCATTGTTTCCAGCACAAGTGCATCTAAGGCCCGAGAATCATCACTGAAGAAGCACAGCAGGTCTGTTTAGACTCTTTTTTTTTTTTTTTTTTTTTGGACCTTGGTGACTGCGTGAGTGCAAGCATCTCCTCTGGCATCAGCCAGCAACAGGGGAGGAGCAGATGTTTATTTTGTTAACACAAAGCATTTAATATGACTGTATGGCGAGTGTGCTCTTAAACTTTTCACTCATGAGACTGTTAAAAGCCAGGTAGCAAAACTTGATGCACAAGGAGCATGTGGAATTTAACAAACGTGGGAGTGCCCTGCATGGGTAACGCGATGGTCAGCTCTTCTTGCAGGAGCTGGCGCAGTGAGCAGTGGGGCTGGGAGCTGCTGCTTCCGATCTGTAACTTGTTTGGGCTTTGCTTGGAAAAAAAAGTCAAGGAAGTGAATGGGTGGGGAGAAAGAAAACAGTTGTGCTTACCTGAATCACCAGCTGAGACCCTAAATAACCTATAACATTAGATGGGTTGGTTTGCTGTTTCCATGTTTAATACATAGAGGTGTCAGACAGCAGTTTGCTGAAGAAATCTTTTGTAATAATAAAAATATTACATTGCTGTGAGCATGTTACGGTTCTCCTGGGAAGCTGAGCACTTCAAGAAATACCATGAGTGTCTGTATCAGGGCAGCAGAAGGATACGGCCAGAGAACACGTGGCTGTAAGATGCCCACTGTCTAGGGCACATAAAATTTCCCACAACAAATACTTCATACCTCTGCTCTGAAATGAAGGCATCAGTGAGTGCCGTCTTGGAAAGCCCGCCAGCATAATCCTCGCTTCAGGAGGAGCGTCAGCAATCCAGGGTCTCTACATCCCATTTCCATGATCCCTGGAGACATTCAGGGTCAGGTTGGACGGGGCTCTGAGCAACCTGATCTAGTTGAAGATGTCCACGGCAGGGGGGTTGGAACTAGATGATCTTTAGGGTCCCTTCCACCCCAAACCATTCTGTGATTCTGTAAGTTGTTCAAGATGTTTTCCAGCCACAATTGAAAAGTTTAACTTAAAACGTGGTAACAGACTCTTTACCGATTGTGATGATTTGCTAGAGCTGGTCTCGGTCTGCAGAGTTTTCTCTGAAACTGGCTGCTGAAGAAAACCCCACTTTCCTGCCAGAAACACAGAAAACCAGCCAAAGCCCGCAACTGACTCTGTAACCAGGCAGCTCTCGAGCACTCTAGGGCACCTGAAGCTTTGGGTGTGAAGCCTCAGCAGCTCCAGGCGGGCACTCTGGGCTGTGGGAGTGGTAGGGAGAGCACCTGTTACTCCTAAACTTCTGTTAACTGCTGCCGAAGGAAGTGGGGAAAAGTTTGGTGTAACCAGGCTCGTCGCCTCACTTTAACTTCTATAAAGCTAAGCAAGCTATTGGCGGTAACCTGAAGATGCATGTGGTTAATCTGCTGAGACAACTGAAGAGATTTCTAGGAAGGAAAAAGAAAAAAGGAAAAGGGTAACAAACCTATTGATCTTCTTGGAGGGGCTTTAGCCTTGCATCAAAGCTGAAGTAAAGTTTAACTTGCAAGCCAGTTTTTATTTAAGGCAGCTATGTTTGTGAAGTTGGAAACTGCCCACAAAGATAGGTTTTCTACTCTGTGTTCCCGTTTAAAAACCTTATTTTTAACTCGTTTTTGCTTATTGTACACTTTCCAAAAATACAATATCAGAAGTGCAGCTCAGCATTAAGGAAAGAACAGAACTAGTGGACAGTGTCCTCTTTTGTACTTATGAATTACATGAGCAAATGTTCCCCAGCAGGTTAGGGATTTTTTTAAAATCTTCATTTAGCACATAAGATGAGCAATGTGCAGTTAGCAAGAGCTTAAACTTGCTATTTAATACCCGATTCTAAATGTTACTTACGGCATGCTGCTCAAACTCTCCTTTGATCGCACCTTTATTAATTTCCTATGTGCTTTTCTTGATGCTCATCGCTGTGGTATGAGAGAAGCACAAGCATTTGTTATCATAATACTTTAGACAAGAACATGGAATTTCACAGTTGTGGTACTTGAGCGGAAGTATTTTAACCTTTGAGGTACAAAGGATTTGATTTTTCCAAGTACAGTCTCGTAAGCTGTATGACAACTTCTATAGAAGCTCACATCTCCCATTGGCTTGAGCTATGGGTGAATACTCAGTATTTCTGCATTTTGGGACACTGGGTCTGAAGTCAGACATTTGGATTAGCGTCACATCCTGCAAAAGGCAAGAATGGATTTTAGTTCTCTGGAATGACATTCAACTATGTAAACATGAAATGCTATCTTTTCTTTCTTCAATCTTGTTTTTCTTGTGTATCTCCCAAATTCTACACAAATGAGGCACAGTATGTTCAGGAAGACGACTTTTCTGCACAATTCTCACACATCTTCAGAGGAGTTCCTAGCAGTTTAACAAATAAAATGGAAGCTACTTAGAAAAAATGTATGTAATCAAATTGTTAATATGTACCTTAAATTGTGCACACAGGGATTTGACTTAATTTCATACAGAAGTGCTATCATTTTGTAAGTTTTTAGTACCTCAGTTTGTGGCCTTGATGTTTCTAATATTTTCCTGTCTGTAACTAGCTTTAAAAAAGACTGTTTCCTTCATATGAAACACACAGTTTAGTGGTAGTGTTGAAACTTTGAGGTCTTCAGCACAGACCTCTTCCACTTGGATTAATTAAAACAGTGGGTTGACAGCTGCTGTTTGGATTGATACCGGGGCATTTTCACAGTAGATTTTGTGATTTTGCTGAACTGTGAGATTCGGCTCCTAACCCCGCCGTGTGAGGTGGTTGTCCTCTCATCAAGACTGGCTCTTCCTCACTGTCCTTTTTTTGGCTTACCTGTGTTCCAAGTTGTTTCCAGGCCCCAGCCCAATCTCCCCACGGACTGTTCCATGTCCTATCTCCACAGTTCTCATCTGTTACTTCTCTGCACTCATTTCTTTGCCTGACCAGTTAACAGCTCTTTCTGTTCACTTCAAGTGTCTTCCCAAACCTCTCAGATTGATTCCCATTTGGTCTCTGCCTCTCTTCCAATCTTAGTCTCCACCTAAGACTAAATATCATTCTCCTCCATGTCCTAGAATAAGTCTGATTCCTTGCCCTAATTTATTCTGTTTTCTCTGTCTGGGTTTTGTACCTTTTCCTTTGAAATTAGACAGTTCCCTGAGATTTTGTCTGCTAAAAAGGATGGAATGGCAATTACCATGCTCAGTGAACAGAACTGGAGAAGCTGGATCTGCCTCTAGCTCTTGCCCCTTGCAAGTAGAATCAATTATTGTGATATGCCTGCTAGCCTCTGGTAGCATTAGGCTTGTACCTAGACAGCCTAATAACATGTAGTGCCTGTGCATTCTCAGTGGGATGGGATGCTGAAAAGTTTCAGTTTTAAGGTGAGCTTAGTTCTGAGTTTCCCCTGAGAATGTGAACCCTACAACTTTTTAAAGGCTTAAAAAGTTCAGTGGTAGTGGGCAAAAGGCTAATCCAGCTGAGCTTTGACTTCCTGCTTCAAAGTGCCACAGTGGTAAAGCACTTAACTGGAAGGGGAAAAAAAAGGAGGGGCGTTTAATAAGGGGAAATAATATGGTTTTGCCCACTTCTCTTCTTGGAAGTGGTTGAATCTTTCAAACAAAAAAGAAAAGCCTGAGACAGGCCTATTATATGGAAAATATCCCTCCAATACTTCATTTCACAAAGTTTACAAGCAGTAATTTTATAGATGCTGTCATGAAATCTACTTGTGGTAAGATGCAAGATCTTTCAGGGCCTGAAAATGGGGATCACTGATTCTGGAAAGAATAAATCTTTTCTTGAAGAGTTTTATGTTGAGCATATGAGTGATAGCTCCTAAAAGTACTAGTCATTCCTTAAGTGATGGGATCATGGCAGATATTTTGGCATCTTTTACTAAACAGTAGTCATTACTTTTAAGATTATTATCTTATTGTTTGTAATCTCTCAATACAGACTAGCTGTTAGTTTCTCAGTGAAGTATGAATACTACATTCGCATTGTGTAGGTGGTTACTCACCAGGATTTTACTGTGTAGCATCCAGAATGAATAAAATTTTCAATATTATTTTATTGGGTGCAGTCAAGATGTCTGGTATTTTCTTTTTTTTTTTTTTAGTAGTGTCCTTTCTGTTCTGTTTTCCAGAGAAAGAACAGTCAATAAACCGAGCTGGTATTGTTCAAGAGGATATTCAGCCTGCAGGTATACTTGATTTATATATTTGCATTGATTGTTTCAAAGACCTTCTTGAAGGAAGACCTGAATATTTATATGGATTTAAATAATACAGTGAAGAATACATTCAAAGAATACATATATAATAAACTTACCATGAAAATATTTTTTCAGGCTAATTCTTCACTTGAAAATTATGGATTTAATGAAACTTCTTTTAAGTTGACTTAACTGGCCAAATAAGTTGTAAAGATTCTGTTATCTTCACAGTTTCTTAAATAGATGCCAGTTTCCACACCAGAAATTAACTTGTGAACCAGCTCAGAGCAAACAAGAACCATGGTGGCCTGAGCTCTAGCTGTAAAAAAATACACTATTGCACCCTGGTTTTGTGGAACACTGCTTTACAACTCAGCTGAACACAATTTATTGAGCGCTTTGTCAGTACCTTCCAGCTTCATGGCTGGAGAGATAAGGCAGAAATCCACTACACATAAAGGAAAATTTGGAACGCAGTGCTAATACCTTTTTTGATCCCTGCTGTTGCCAGTAGAAGGTGTAGAAAAGCATATTAGGGGAATAAAAATTAAAGTATGGCAGACCATCCTTGACAGTTCATTGTTTCATAGGTAGTGGAACTGGCTATTCACTTCAAGTTGACACTTCTTGTTTAAAGACATGAGAGTGCTTGTCTTGCTGAAACTGTTCATATCTGAGTATGTTAAATGGTAACTTACTCCTATTTTTAGAAAAGCCTAACATCAGCAGCAGCAGGGGAAAACCAAATAGGATTAATGCCATGTCCTTAGTACACATATCAGTTAAATCATCAGTGCAGGAATCACTTTCCAGGAAAGTGGTGAAATGCTGAAGAGGAGTAGGAAGAGTATTGTGAAATAGAAGTCTGGTAAACCTGCCTTTTTTATTAAACATTGAAAAGGACTGAACTGGCTGATTTATTCAAGATGCAGGTACTTGGTAACCAGGTCTCCTCAGCATAACTTTTTCATCTAAATTTAGCTGCTGCTGAGAAGTTATGAGATCCACTAGTTGAAAGTGAAATCTAGACAAATTCAAGTGCAAGGTGCAATTCTAGATCGTTGTTCCAACAATATTAGAACACCTTACCTATGGGCGTGATAGATTTTTCTATTATCTGAAGCTTAAGATCAAGATGAGGTTGTCTTTCTAAATATTTTTGCAAGCTTAAGCAGAGTTGTGAGTTCAGTGCAGAAATTGTTACGTTCTTTCATTGTTTCTTACACAAGGCTGGAGTAGCAGACCAATTTTTTTTTTTGTTTTCTCCAACAGTCTAGTTATGAACTGCTGGTATTCTCATATTTGATTTGTAGGGTTAAAAGTGTGGTCTGATCCATTTGGAAGAAAGTAATGTTGCCGGCTGGGTGTATTGCAAGGCAAAACTGAAGATGGACATCTTCAGCTGTTTCTTCTTTCACTGAAGTGTGTCTTTGGGTGTCGCTGGAGAAGAATTCTGAATATGCTGTGTGGGCACGTGAGGAGCAACAAACGCTACTGGTTGGAATCCCAAGAGATAAAAACATGCTAGTTTTGACAGAGGATGCTGGGGCATAGTGCGCAGACTGTTAGAGAGCTGAATGATTCTTGAGTTCAGAAGTGAAATATTTATTTCCTTGAGAAAAGGGAAGAGGAATTATTTTGTGGTTAATCTGTAAACACTTGTAGAATAAATTATGAATAGAATAATTCATGCAGACCGCTGCAGTTTCCTCCCTAGTTTGAGAATTACTTTTTGTGGTTTTATTATGAAAACATGATAGAAGTATATACCAAGAGAGATCAGTGCAGAAAATATAACATGGTAAGTGTAAATTTGTATATTAAAATTTCTTCCTTTTAAACCAATGAGTATTTTTTCATTTGTTTTGCAAGTAGTTGTGGCTGGTTAAACTTGGCCAGGAGTCTACCCAGCCACTTTCTCACTCCCGCTCCTCAACAGGACAGGTGGGGAAAATAGGATGACAAAGCTTGTGGGTCTGGGTAAACCCAGGGAGATTGCTTACCAGTTACTGTTGCAGGCAAAACAGACTCAACTTGGGGAAAATTAATGTTGTTTATTGCCAATTAAAATAGATTTGGATAGTGAGAAACAAAAATTAAAATAACACCTTCCCACTGCCTCCCTTTTTCCAGGATCAACTTCACTCCTGAGTCCTCTATTTCCTCCCCCTCGGTCACCTGAGCGGTGGATGGGGGTTATGGTCAGTTTGTAACAGTTCTTCTGCTCCTTCCTTCTCACGCTTTTCCCCTGCTCCTGTATGGGCTCTTCATGAGCTGCAATTCCTTCAGGAAATACCCAACCGCTCCGGTGTGGGTTCCTCCCCAGGCCGTGGTGTGGATATCTGTTCCAGCGTGGTCTTCTCCACAGGCTGCAGGGGAGTATCTGCTCTGGTGCCTGGAACACCTTCTCCCCCTCCTTCTTCTCTGACTTTGGTGTTCATACTGCTGTTCCTCACTTTCTTCCTCTCATTCCTCTGGTTGTCTGGTCTTTTCACAAAGGTGCCACCCACTTGGCTGCTGAGCTGTGTCTTGCAGTGGGTCCTTTGCAGAGACAGCTGGAACTGTCTGTGGCCGGCATGGGGTGACTTCTGCAGCCTGCCTTCCTTGCTGCCAAAACCTTGACTGGTACACCTGATACAGGAGGTTAACACCAAATGTTGAGGTAGAAAAGCAGATACTGTGAAGTATCTTTTTTAAAAAGCACTTTTTCATGGTGAGCATAATGATCATTAGAACAGGCGAGTAAAGGATTGCCCCTACTGAAAATCTTTACCCAAATTGGATGTCTGTCTTAATACATTCTGAATAAACTATGTGTTTCCAGATTTCAAAAGAAAGAAACAGTCTAGAAGCTACAGTTATGGTCTGTAATCTAATCGATATTGTTCTTGAGTACAGGTATAGCATGTACATTTAACTTTAATATACTATCTTCTTTTCTTGATTTTTTTTTTTTAGCACTTCATTATGGTACACAACATTTTAAAGACCATTGCAGGATCATATATGTTATGAAGAATGTATGCGCAGTGAGTGTTATTTATAAAGTTAGCAGATGTTAGTTTGTTATTTTTTTCAGACATCGCAGTTTTATTAAGAAGGCAGATGAAAGACTCGATGTTTACAGTGTTCTTTTCCAAACCGCCATTCTGTTACTTGCTATTCCTTTTCTACCTGTTGTTGTCATTCCCCTCCCAGTCAGACACCTTTCCTCTTCTGAGTTTGTTTTTTTTTTTGTTTAGTCTCCTATTATCACTGTAAGCATTACAATTTTTTCGGTTTGCTTGCTGGGAAAATGTGACCATATTTGATTCCTTTGAGTTCTCAGGTGATTTCACATGATGGCTGAAGTCAGAGTGATTGTATGCATTCACTGTAGGGATGTTGACAGAAGTTTCACTACATAGCACAGAGCAACACTGTTGCAAAACTAATTCAGTGTTTGCTGGGAAAAGAAGAATCAAACTGAAGAACAAAGGTTTTTATCACTTAAACCTTTCTTCAGTGAGACTGTGGAAATGAGGGAGCCTTGGTTTTTTTCTTGAACAAAACTTTATACGGATGCATCAGGCAGTTTTAGCCAAGTTGTTTTGTCTAAAATACCTTCCCAGTGGAAATACAGTATTGCTTAAATGCAGATACTCCATCTATAACTGACTAGCTGCAAAAGAAAGAGTTTTAGGAGTTGTTGGGAATTGTTCAATAATGCTGCTTCTGTCATTTGGTGATGCAAATGCTTAAAAAACATACATCATGGTAGTGTGAAACAATTACTAAACCGCTCTTTCAGGATAAATGGTGTGACAGAGGATATTAAATTACTTAGTTTGGAGTTAGGAGATAAGACAATCTCTGCTACTCGTTTACTTTGTGAAGTTGAGCAATTTGGTGAGTCTGGATCTTGCCTGGAAAAATGTTAGATGGTTTCAGAACAGTGGCTGTTGCCAGCAGGTGCTGAGCTTTTTGCCTTCATATTACTTAAATGTTGCAAAACATTTGAGTACATGAACTCAATTATTTAGCATTTATATTTATAGAACTGTACACGCCTGTTGGTTGTGATATCTAGTTCGTTCCAGTGCAAAAACTCTTGGTAAGTTTTGTAATTGCCTGTACAGAACTTGCAGCAGTGCATATCTGTTGAATACTACTGAAGTAAATCTAAGCTCTGAAAACGGTGTACATTGGTTTTAATGATCATCACTTCTCACTTGCTGTGTTCCACCTAATAAAGTGGGCTGACTGGCTATGTCTTTAAAGTGCTAGGATGGTGAATGTCTTTTTCAAACCTTTGGTATTCTGTCTGGATAAAACTGTTAAGTCAACAAGGAACATACTGCAATAATTCTCCAGAATTTACACTGAAATTTTCTATGATTGCTCTGGCATTTGCCAGTTGCCTGGAGACTTGCCCGAGACTCACGTGGGAAGTCCTAATCCTGCAGCTGGCTTTCTGGGCTTTGTGACAATGCTTTGTTCTGCTCGTGGACACGGGACATAAGCCTCTCCTTCTCCTAGCTACCCAGTAACAGGTGAAGTTGAGTCTAGCAAATTGTGCTCCCCAGGACTCTATCCTTATCTTTCTCTGGAAGTAAGAGTTTTTGCTACTTTTGCAGCCTTCAACAACTATTATTTTTCAACACAATCACGCAAAAATGTTAGATGTGTTTATAATGATGCATAATTTTATTATTATTCATAATTAGTACTTGGGAGGGACTAGTCTGTCTTTTGCAGAGGAACTGATTTGCTAGTTTTGGTCTGCCTGTTCTGATTGTTCTGATAGAAAGGTTGGGACAAAACATTTGACAAAAATGCCTTCTTAGAATGTTTTTAAAATGGTTATCATATCTATTCTGTAATATGAATGCATTTTGCTTATTTATTCTAGCTGGAATATGAACAGCAAATATAACTTCAGCCTTTGGAGGACTGGAGAAAAGTTTTAAACAGTGCTTTGACATCCCAACAGAAAGATCTGGTTGTACTAAGTTTAGGCCTGCTGTTGTATGCTGATAAGTTTTAAAATTATTAAAACTTGTGCCATGAAGAGCAAATCTGGCATTTTGGTCTAAACACAGCTTAGTTTTGAAGCATTATAGACTGTTGATGATGCAATGAAACCCTCAAGCACAAGCACTTCAGGAGGAGTAAGCATGGCAAAAGATATTAGCAAGTTGCCAGGTTATACACATGAGCACGAAAAATGGGATTTTTCTTGCTGAATATTGTACTTTGTTTATTGAGATTGCTCCCACTGATGAGAGGGGATTTTTTTTTTCCTGTAATACTCAAAGCACATTGAATAGCCTCAACTGATTGTTGCAAATTTTACTGTACATATGCCCTCCCACAAAAAACAATCCAGAAAAAGAAGCAGTTCTCGTGATTTGCAGTTTCCTAAACCAAAATAAATCATGTATTTTCCCTTCTTGCAGTCTAGCAATAATTAACTACTCATTTTCTCAGTACTGTGTACACTCCTACTGACCTTCTTCATGTTAACATGCAGACACAGCAGTAAATTAAAAGCTGCATTGGCTTTTTCTGTGGTGCCACACAGCCCAAATAGTGTGTTTGCTAGTGGAAGGAAATTCTGAGAAAGTGTTGCAGAATAGACACTGTTTCCATGTGGACAATGTATAACAGGAGAGAGCAAAAAACAAAGTGCAGGTCAAAGCATATTAAAGCTTTCATTTTCACATATTATCCTATGATCTGAGGTGTATTTGTGCATAGTGCAGACTATGTGGGCCTTGCAAGAAAAATGGTGCAGTGTTTAAGACACTGTCTTGGAAATTAGGACTGTTGTGGTCAGTTCCGTGTTCCACCATGCTTTTGTCTGGCAGCAGGTAAGTAATTTAGCCTTGGAGCTTCAGTTCCATCTGGAAAATAGCAATAATAGTACTCCCCTTCCTTGCAAAGCATGATGAAGGTAAATACAGGGGTGGGGTTTTTTTGGTGCTCTAGAAAACATTTTTGGTTCTTGTCTGAGAAGTTTTCTTCATGGTTGAGAAAAATAGGTCTGGATTTGTGTGGGAATCAGATATTTTGGTTTCAAGAACTTAAAATGTTTTGAAGAATCTTTTCCAAAAGGAAACAACTTCTGAAATTTCCCAGGACTTTATATTGCTGGAATATTATGCTCTGGGTATGGAAATTTTATATTTTGGGAGTCCAACAGGAAAACTCACCTGCTTTTCACAATACTAATGTTTTTTTTAGACGATCTCCAAATTTGAGTATAAACTTCTACATGTAAGTTGAAATGCAACCCAATATGAATGTTACTAGTTGCACAAAAAAGCAGAAAATTTGTCAGCTTTTGTTACTGGCCCAGATGCCTCAGCAATTTTCTGACACTCAGCAGTTTTCAGTATTTTGACTTGCCACTTCCCTTGTCTTCTGTAACAATGGGTCCTCCCTTCTGACCTTTGCATGCCAAAAAAGTAGCTAAAAGTCTTCTAAGAGAGCTACAAGTACTGAGCAGGGGAAGCTGGGTGGCAGTTAAAGGAGGCGAGGAAGAACTGGAGGTACTGCAGGGAAAAGAGTGTTCCTCCTGTAGCCCTGGAGGAACACCTTGGAGGTAGGGGGGTGGATACGAAGAGGAGACAGGGCATACTGGTCAGTTGAATGGGCAGGAGCATGGGGGACATAGGACATAAATCCATTGGAATACAGCCTTCATAGGCTCTGCTGCTCGCAGAGCAAATTGGGATACCTCTTTCCCTCTTTTCTGTTTCGTCCCCAGTAGATCAGAGGTAAACATTTCTAAAGGAGGTTCCTAGTCAAGACAAGAAGGTTATCATGAGAAGAGGTTATCTAAGGAGAAAAGATATAA